CCTCGCTCCTTTGGAGATGAGAGCACATTCTTTACTCCCCTCCCACCATTCCAGTCCATCGCACATAGGTACCAATTTGGATTGTTTGAAGCAAACATAGTCCAATCATCCCATATCTAAAGATAGCCTTGATTGTTACTTCTTCTTTCCCATATCTGAACAATTAGACCAATCAAGTATAATTTCCAAAGCATTACCATGTTGACTGGGGGTGATGGGAGTTGTAGTCTAACAAATTAATAGGGGCTGGGTTGTGTATGGCTGCTTTCACTGTACAGTATGTGGGATACAAGCAAAGCATGTTCTCTTATTGCCTGAAGGGCATTCTAGACCATGGCCGCCACCTGCACCTGCAGAGGAGGAGGGAGTGGAAGAGGCTGGGAAGATTAGGGCGGGGAGGCTGATGGGATATGCTGATCTGGGAGCTGCAGTGGGGAGAGAAGGGATAAACAGATAAGTCTCCCTTCTTTCACTTGTTGTTGCCTTGGATTCTTCCCATTCTTCTCCCTCCTATCCCAAGCCACTTCTGCCTAAACAGTTTCCTTCCGGGCATGGACCAGATTACCTGAAACACATACGTTTCAGTTCAGACACAGGCCATTCAAACATACCTGTTCATTTTGCACACCTGTATAATACAGGTGGAAGTGGTTTAGTTGATAGTTTGGACCTTCATTCATTCTAACAATTAAGAAAACTAATGTATTATTATAAATGTATAGCTATGAATAATACAGCTTGTAAAAAATCATTCTTAATTTGTCATTCCAAAAATTTATTTTATTTTATTTATTTATATTTCAAATTTAGTCACCGCCCATCTCATAACATAATAAAATTACTTTATTAATAGTAATGTGCATTTAAAGTATAAGCAAATGCATAATGAACTTCAAAAATTGAAGTAAATGGACCAGATGTATTGCCTGTCACTGCCATAATACATTTCAGAATCTAATGGAGAATTAGATGAAAGTTGTAGTGACTTTTCTCCATTATAAATTTAGCTTTCCTATAACATTCTGAATATTTATTAAATATTGTTTCATGGCATGGGACCAGGCTATTTGAGGGACCACCTCTCCCTACTTACATCAGCCCACCCCATCAGATATCACAGAGAAGGCGTGTTGCAGGTACCATTGGCTAAGGATCTGCATTGGGTGGGTCCCAGGAGACGTGCCTTCTCTGCTGTGGTGCCTGCCTTATGGAATATCTTTCCTCCCAAGATTAGATTAGCGCCATCCCTTTTGCTATTCTGGAAGGCCCCAAGACCTGGTTATGTGATCAAGTCTGGGGGTCCCAGAGAACCAGAGACCTGCTTAGATGCTCCATGGCTGAAAAAAGGGTGGCCATTTTTATTCTCCCTTCCCCTATGGTTTGTATTTTTATGGTATTTATTAATGCGGTTTCTTATTTTTTTTTTATATTTGTCTTTTTATCTGATTGTTGCCCAGAGTCGCTTTTGGTGAGTTGGATGACTATATAAATTTGCTTAATAAAATAATAAATAACTAATAAATAAATATTAAAATTATTAAATTTAAACAAGCTATAGTATTCTCATTGAAAATACTGGAACAACAGCCCCTAATCCTGTTTCCAAGTAAAATTTCAGAAAAATTTAACTTCCTAAAATTTGTTTTATTAAGCCATCTGTATAGGATGAAATTTTGCCAGATAACCATAAGATTGTAACTGATTGTAACCACTCTTTTATAATTGTTTAAACTGTTTTTGTTAGACAATAAAGAGATACTTACATTTGAGACTGAAAGTCTGGAAGCAAGGATGGAGGCAACAACTGATGAGGTACTGTGGTGTTTTGACATGTTTAATTCTTTGTCATTTGATTTGTCACTTAGTTTAAAGTATTTTGTACTTATTTAGAAGAAAATGAAAGTCTGAAATTAAGAGACCATTCAAGAAACATTAATTAAGCTGGGCTGTAATGTGATAAAATTCTGTATAAGCAGATTCTTGAGGTGGGGGGGAGCCCATGCCTATTTGTGTGCTCCATATTTGAAATATAGACTTCATAGCTAGTTGCTTGCCAACAGATAGAAAATAGCCCAAAAAGGATGCAGTCCAGCAGCAGCTCTGTAGACCGTGATACAGATGCTTGAAAATAAAAAGAATGTAAGGTGCCGTACTTTGTTTTGAAGTATTCCAGCTTCTAATTCATTTCTTTAATTGAAATATACTTCCTGTCCAGCATAGTCACAGTCACTTCTCATTTCAATTCCATTCACCCTGCTGGAGGCTCCTTGTTCCCTTTGTAATGGAAAAAAACTTATAAGTAATGCCAATAAGGCAAATCACCCGGAAGATGAGTCTATCATTCTTGCTTTCTCCCACATTGATTTTTTTTCAAGATTTGAAAACTCCCACAGGAGTTAAGAGGGTTAGCAAGAGCACATTCCCCATGGTCACTGTGCTTCCTGCCCCTGCTTTAGAGATAAGATGGAAGTATATTATTGTTTTTATTGTTATTGTTCTGCTGCAGTTTTATTCAGCAACATACTTGCTTTCAAATAGAGGTGTCCATAGGCTTTGATACTGTTAGTGTTGAAAAAGAATTCTTTCCCTTTTCTTCATAGCAGCTGCCGTGTACAAGTCCAGAAAAGGAACATCGCTGTGAAGAGAAACAGCCTGAAGAGGTTCTTAAAAGTAAATTCATGTTTTAATGACAGTAATTGTTGTAACAAGTCATAATTTGGTGTCCCAATCAATGAAATTATAGTATCTACATTTAACATAGGACTGTATATCCAATGACTTTGTAGTGTCTGGGGTATTAAAAAGACATCTCAAAAGTTAATCCCTCCATTGCATTCCTAGCAGTAAGGGTAGAATCCAAAATTCAGTTGAGCTGGATTAAGGAAGACCCATTAAGCAGTAGAACCATCACATGAGAACAGTGATGTTCTCCCTCTCACTGGAGGTTTCAGCCGGGGCAGGATGGCCACCTATTGGCAGTGGTGTAACGGATTCTGATGAGCTCTACAGTCTTTTCCTACTCACATATTCTGTGATTGTAGTTCTGAAAGGCAGTCTAAGGTGTTTAAATCTATATGTCTGCAATATATGCAAATGTGTGACGGATCAAACAGAGAAGCGAAAGTTGACTTCTCATTGATCTCTAGTAAAAATACATAATTTCACTCATAGTGCCTGACATAGTTTCCTGCAGGTGTTCTTACTACTCCAGAACAGGGGTTTTCAAACTTTTTCAGGTTATGGAATCTGCTGGTTAAAAAAAAGTTCCCAGAACCCCTGACCAAGAGGCAAAACTCTAGTGAATAAAGCACTAGGGTTCCATGGAATAAACTTCGAAAAATCTCTTCTAGAAATACTGAACTCTCCTGTTTGCCTTGCGTAGTTGTAGGCATAATTGTAGTTCAAATAAGTGATTCCTGGATACTTGTTGCTTGTACTCTCATAAAGAATAGCTAAAGTACAACTTCACATATAAGATGCTTACATGGAAATCTGGGCAGTATTAAATTATTCTATACAGTATGACATTAAGTGTTATATTTGTATTACTTTCCCCACTACAGACATTTTTAGAAAGCCCCTTCTTCATTTGATAAAATTCAGCCTAAGTAAAAGGAAGTTGTTTAAAAGAGAGTCATGTCTTCTGTCAGAGATGCTTCTGCACAGCAGACCAAGAGCTTCATAGTCCAAAATTGCAAGGAATGTAAACACCCGGTTGCTGTTTAACAAACGAAGATCTAACTCTGTACTTGATGATATATTTTTAAAACTGAAAGATTATTTCCCTTGTATCGTAATGTAGTAATAATAAAAGAAACCATGTGCACACTTAAAATGATTTTAAATGAGCATTCACAATGAGTAGTTTGAATAACAGGAGTTAGCAATATTCTAAGTTTACAATAGGAAGTTCCAGTAAATTGGAATTTTAAACAACTGGGAGCCACAAGCTTCCTGTCAGTGGCTCACCATGACCTTTCTACCCCCGGGCCTCTTTCTGCCTTGGAGTGAGCAACTGGAGTGTATCAGGATTGGACCTTTCCAATTCTTTCTCCTTTGCTTTCTCTGGGTTTGTTCAGAGTCACTCTGGTTGACAAGAATGTGGGAGAAGAGGGAGGCAAGTTAAAGTCCTCTCCTAATCCCAAAATCTATGTCTCTTCCTGCTGCACTTAGACATGATCTGTCTGTTATCTTTTCTGACAAACAATGATGAGAGAAGAAGAAAATTGTAATTATTGCCTCAGGATACTGTATTTAAAAGAGCTCATTAAATAGAGAATATGACATTGTTCCTTCCCATCCAGTTAGATTTTTTTCCAACAAATTACATAGAGAGAAGCTTTCTGTCCTTTGTATAAAAAGGGGTTTTCCACAAACTAGGAAAATAACAAAATGTGGCTAGAGTGTATCTTGAACTGTGCTTTAGAGGAGTTTCCTCCAGGACAGGTGAAGCAAAAAATATTTTTGTTCATGCTGCTTTCATCCACGGCTGCTGCAAAGTGTTGTGGCTTTTAGTTCCTCTGCATCTGGGGCAAATTTGAAGGGATTTAAGTATTTATTTCTTGATACCAAGATGCGTTCTTGGTTAATGACCATAATTATCTGCAATTTCACATATCCATGTTTGGTAAATACAGTACGGTAAAAGAATTTCATGAATCTATGGGTTTGGGCTTGTTTTTACCCTGGTCTCATTATCCACAGTTGTTAGGCTGGAAGAGAACCGCCACAAACAGCATGTAATGAACAAGTGTACAGATGTCTCCCGTATCTGAAATCAAGCAAAAGCTAACTGTTTATACCACTCCCTGTGCGAAAGCCCTCTATAAGGATAAATGCAGTTCATTTGAGTGATTGAGATTATGTAGTATCTGGGATGGGAGTGCAGTTTGTGTCGCTCAAATGCTGCATGTGAATTTCTAATACCTTTTTCTAGCCCTGAGAGTCATTCCCTAGAGTGGATGGAACCAAATTTTTCTCCTATTCCTTTCTTAGTTTAGAAAGCATTAAGAGGAGAACCAGGTGCCTTGTGTTTCAGTCATTAAAATTAGCAAAAATAACAATTCCTTAACTTTTCCCATTTTTAGAATGCATCCCTTGAGATAATAGAAGTTGAGTCTAGGAAATGGAACTGTAAATTGGGAAGTTATTCAGATCCTGAACCTGTCAGATGATCTTGGGCCAAACCAATATTCTCTTCAACTTGGTCTCACATAGTTTCAGAATTGCAACAAGGCTGAGCAATCCACCCCCCTCTGTGGTGTCAGTCCCTCCGCAATACCCAGCAGTTGACTGTCAACTTTCTGTGAAAATCTGCTGAGCTCATGAGCAACAGGGTACCTGCTCTAACTGATCATGGGAAATTAGCATGTGGAAGCACAGTTGATGGGGATGAAAGGACTAAATAACAAGCATCCACCCATCTCCCTCCACCAAAATCCAGCAACTGATACTACCTTCAGGGATGGAAAGATGATCTGTCCATGCCTCACTGGATGTGTGGGTAGCATGTTTTCAGGCACTCGACATGCCCTGTCAACGCTAGATTCTGATTAACAATTCTATACTTCTGTTTTTGTATTTTAGCCCTTGGAAGTGTACATACTTCAGTCATAATAGAAGTGGCAGAAGATCAGGTTCCTAAAGAAGAATTATTAGAGGTATGCACTGGGGTTTCGGGGTGGGGAGAGTCTGCTTGTTTTAATGATTGGTATTCCTTTGTCTTCATTGGAAGGAAAGTTTTTTTAAAAATCCTCATTTTCTGAAAATTGGTAGATGAAAATCAAATTCATCTGGATAACTCAGTACTGTTTTAAGAACATTCCTATAAGAACACTCTGTCAGAAGCATAATACTTGATGAAATCTCCTGGTTGAAAAGCAACATGTTAAAGCATGTAAAGAGCTGTTACTTTGTCCTGCTTGGATTCCTCCCTGGCCTACCTGGGAGGCTGTTGTCCAGAAAAAGAAAGCTGGCCAATCCAGCAAGGCGGTCCTTGTCCTCATTTCTCCTCTCCTTCTTCGGTTGCAGGTAGAAGGACCTGAACGGAAGGAAGAGAGCTTCATGCTAGAAGCAACCAGGCATCGTGCTGTTGAAGAGGGTAAATCAGGTAGTTCAAACCATGGCCTTGCTTGATTGAGAAACTGCTGCATACAATTTTTCATCCCTCTTTCAACTATGCTTTTGGAAACCATTTCAAGAAAACAATGTCATTTTGCAGGTAGTGATCCACGATGTCAGGTTCTAGAAGAGGAGGCCAAACAAGAAATTAACGAGGTATTTTTAAACTCTGTGATTCATTAAAATACCTTAGAAGAGATACAGTGGGGCAAAAAAGTATTTAGTCAGCCACCAATTGTGCAAGTTCTCCCAA